TCGTACTTGCTGTGAACAACTGCTATGTATACCTGCATAGACCCAAATAACCCCAAATAACCCCAAAGAACCCCTATATGAGCTATACTCTAAACTCCTAGCATCGCACTTAATAACCCTTGTAGTAGTCCCCAACAGAATCCCTTATATAACCCCCTTGAAGGAGTTTTAGAATATGGCTCAAATAACTCTGAAGGACACTACCCCAATAGATCCTAACGAGGCTGCTACCACAGCCCCGCGCGGCCTGCCCATGCCGCCAGGCTTTGAATTTCATTGTTTGCGTGACACGGAATACAGGAATGATGGTTTGGGGTTTAGGGGTTTAGGCGTTTAGGGCTTAGGGGTTTAGGGTTTAGGGCCCCTAATGTAGACCCATGACTAATAAACCCCCTCCTGTTAAGGGCCCTAGTATGAAGATTCCAATTATAATCCACAGCAGTAGTACTCAGGGTACACAGTACCCCTAATACGACTGACAGCACCGATCTTAATCATTACTCTGTTGACAGGGAAGGTGGTCTGACCTGTACACGTGCTTTGTGTAGCCTCTACATGACCCGTGCATAGCTCTCCCAGGAGTTGCACGTAGCCCCCATACGTGAAAAAAACGCTACACAAGCAGTTTGGTCCGTCCTCCGGCGAAGCAACAATTTGGGAGCACTTGCCTCAGCTGGCCGTTGTATCCGAGATCGGGATCTGCCTATACCGTGGGAATATCAAAGTTGCAAAGCTTTGAGAAGGATTGCAGGGAGAATTTCTTAAGACAACTCCAGCAGAATTTTATGATTCTACCATCCTGTGCAGGGACTCCAACAGGACCCCCCCAATTTCGTGAACCTGCAAAGAAACAAACGTTTTCATGGACGTGCAAACTGCATCATTCTAGCAATTGCAACTAATAGCCGTTCCTCACAGGTTGGGGAAGCACAAATCATCAAAAGGCTCCAACCACAACCAGCAACCTCGGTCACTTCCGGCAGTTCCAGTCGCCTCCCATGAGAAGGCTGATGGATGCAAGTGGGAGTTGTTTGAAGAATCCGCTTTCAAATTCTTACTAGCGAACCCGGGAGTCGATGCATAACCCCTACATGCTCCTTTGAGACCGATCACAGACAAGCATGGGGTCTTCAGGTGCCGGCGGCATGAATTTGAGTCTACGAATCGGAAGCAGTTGGAAAGGATCTTATGAACATGGGCTTCGCCGGTAGCGGCATCTCCGTGATTATGTTGGGGCCAAGGTGTTGCGTTCGTACTTGTGTAAAAGATCATGGCAGGTCAATAAAGCATGCTCATACATCAGCCACTACCCCAAGAGATTTTGAAAAATGCGGGATGAGGCAAATAGCAGAAAATGAGATATGCATACTATGCTCATGCATCTGTCAAAAGTCGATATGCCTAGCGCTCCCGTGCGGACAACTGTTTTGTCAACAGATATTGCCAGGCAAGTCCTTCTTAATTGGGTGCATTAGCGCTTCATGTGGCCGCTGCAAACTTTGGATCTTTTCAGGGGTGCGGGTTGTGATGCATAAGTGCTTCTGCACATCTAAACTTACATCATGAGCACGAGGCACCTAATCATCCCTGCTCCCGTGGTTTAGCCAAACAGTCATTGGCCTGCTTCGTTTCAGTATTCAGCTCAGTTTCTCAACCTTGCATACCTGTACCCTGCGACGCAACGCATTGAAATATCCGGGGTGGTACAAGATTTCCTCCGAAAGCAGGAAGTTTCCTGCGTACAGAAACTATGCAAAGGATTTCCCAGCGCGGTGGAAATCCTAGCTCTGTCATGTATGCATTCATGGTCTGTCCAACCGGATCAAATATGTACTCCCAGGAACCCGATATAAACTCCCCAATCAATTTCAATAACAAAAAGCTATCTAATATTAAAAGCGCAAAACAAACCGACTTTGGAAGAAGCAATGAAGACTGTGAACACATATGCACTACCTGGTTCTTAAGCGAGACTTGGGGGGCGGAGCCCCCTATAATCATCATGCTATCCCATATAATGATCCCTGAATTCACTCCGGCACTCCCCCGAAAGCACCAGGAAGTAAGCCCAAAGAGAACATTCAGGTCCCGCCTCAGAAACCGTTTCGAAACCTTTCCTTGTATTGCGAGCACTGTGCTCTCGGCGCGATTAAAAAAGCGCTTTCTCGTTTGGAATTCGTACCTCTCAGGGCTGCGAAGCATTGCAGAGCTTATCCAAACTCTTGGGAGCCATGCCCTCTCCTCCCACAGAGCAATTGAATCATGTTGCGTAGCCTACAGAAGCACATGCCTTAGACAAAACCATTGTGAAACGCCCATCTCCATCAACACAACCCTGCACGGTGACCAAGGGAAACTATCTGCCTGCATTGGCGATAGCAGTAGAAACGATACAAGCAGCAGCAACACGTGAGTTTTGTGTTTAGTAACAGCTGCACCAGCAGTAAGTGTAGCTGACGCAGCAGTGGCGCTAGTGGCAGTAGCCAGGTTGTGCGATTGTCATGATTAGCAGTCACAAAAGTATTCTTAGTGCGAGGACTAGTGACTAGCGGTAGCAAAAACAGAGGCAACACTGGAACAGCAGCAGCAGAAGAAGCAGCAGCAATACGACATTTTTTTGGCACATGGAACATTCATCAAAACTCTTCTATAATCGTTATTTGTGAGGATACCATCATTTGGGGGCGGGTAACTCGCGCTGTGTCCGGATGGAAGCATTGCTTTACTCATGGCTTACTTGATCTGAACCATGTACACCTAGCATTCATCATTTTCAAGATTAAGGGGTATCTTGTGCCGGGGTCCGGAGAAGGACCAGTAGAATGCCCATGCGGACCGCAACTGGGTTGCTGTAAGGAATTTCGGTTTCCGTTACCAGTACAAGGCAATCCTATTTCTGAGTAAGTAAGTATCCGTATGTTGGTAACTTCACTCAAGATCCTTCTCAGCAGGGTACGCTGCTCGAGCATGGTCCGCTTCCTTCCAATATCTCTCCAGCCGCCGATCCAGCCGCTCCACTGCAACAGTCCTGGATCCAATCACTGAGACGTGTGTGGTTTGGGGTTTAGGTTAGGTGGACCCCCCTCCCAGTAATAGTGACTATAGGGGGTAATAGGGATTTTGTTAGAGTCCTCTTATATTCTTATTATACTACTATTACAGGGTGGGGGGTCCTCCTAAGGTTTAGGATTTCGGGCTTAGGTTTTCCATAACTAGGGGGTCTCAAAACACCCCCAATCAGTAGATTCCTTGTTTCAAGGACTTCCCAAAACCTGCATGTAGGGAATAGCGGTTGCGAGGAGATGGTCCGAGGGCTGCATATGGCCTATGCTTGAAAAGATCTAGGAACGTGACGTTGACATTTGCTATTATTGCTAGTACGGTTAATTTCGCATTCTACACTATTGATATCGTTTGTAGTTCGGAATCTGTCGCTGTTATTGAACTTTATAAGGTGTGAAGAGATCTTTCTGGGATGCGGAGATCATGTAAAAACGGAACAGCCAATTGCAGGGCATTGTAGTGGACCATACCGAAAACTGATGATTGCATTCTTGAATTTATGTGATGTTCATTCCTTTCTGAGTTCGAGCATGCTCGTAGACAAAGACATGCTAAGCAATTATAATTCAATGACCCAGGCTCATGGCACACTCACCGAAAAAGGCAAGCAGCACCAGTGACCTGAGTTGTTCTGGACCCTCAGGGGTTAATATTTTGAATGTCTACCACTACCACTCCTAATCTTCGGGAACTCCAAAAGTTTGGGGGGGAAACCACCTCCGATAATAGAGGCCTGGGCTTGGGAGTCCTTTGGGTAGTAGGGGACAAGAACCGTAACCCTAACACATCCAAAGCCGGTTGGAGAGCGGAGAGCCTGAAGGTGTTGCTCGTGGGCCGGTGCTCTTTCATGGTAAACTCGTATGGGAATAATTAGAGGTCCTAATTCCTTGTGGTCATCATGAGGGCGTGGAGTAGCGGGTAATGAGTCTAATGGCTTCCATTTTCGGAACCCCCCACTTGCAGTACTGGAGCCAGTATGGTGCGTGTAGTTGGTAAAGTTGTTGGGTTGGTCGTCGAACCTCGGCCCCTGACCGCCATCGGGCAGGACCACACTAGAGCTACATTGGGGGACAGCTAAGGGCGAATTCGTTGAGGCTTCTTTGGCTCAGCCCGTCTGCAATTTGTGTGGGGTTTGTTCCCTGGTCCAAAAAAGCTAAGCTGTTGGTTATGACCGTATCGTGTAAACATCTATAAGATCACTCAAAGTTCCTCGACTCAGGTAGGAGCACCTTAACAAAGAGGATTTTCACACGGGGGCCCCGAAGAGTCCAAGACCTAAGTTCCCGATACTGAACATTGGAGCCGTCAATTCCCAAACACACAATAACCCTATAGAACCCCTGAAAACCCCATCTAAACCCACAATAAGTCCTATATAAACCCTAAACCCTATGTCCTAAACCCTAACCCTAAAACCC